TTTCGGACTAATGGAGTCAAATTTAAGGGGATTCTTTCCGACGAAAGCCAAATCGGGTAGATCTTTGGGCGGGGGGAAGCATACGAATATGAATAAACCTCCGATAGACAGAATAATATAAGTCAGCAAACCAATATATTTCGAATGCCACCCGAATGAAAAAAAGCTTTTGCATATCGTCCGTCGCCTCAAGAAGCGAAATAATTCCATGAATGATTTTGGATGATTTCTGAGGCAGCAAAGCAACATGTTTTGAGTGCCCCCCAATCCGCGAAGTATATTCGCATCGTCCGGCCCGAATAGTCGAAATAATTCCGCCTTTGCTTGTGAGTGACTTCCCAGTCAGCAAATCAACATATTTTGAGTACCCCCCATAAATAAATCATATTCTTTATCGTCTGATGCAATCAGCATGGATGATGTCCGCGATATATGTTGCGTACGAATTCTTAATAATTCCATGAATGATTTTAGATAACTTCTGAATTAGCAAAGCAAGATGATTTGAGTGCCACCCAATCCATGAAGCATATTCCTATCGTCCGGCCCGAATAAGCGAAATAATTCCTTTCATGCTTGAAAGTGACTTCCCAGTCAGTAAATCAATATATTTGGAATGCCTCTCATAAATATATAATATTAATTATCGTCTGATGTAATCAGCATGGATGATGTCCGCGATATATGTTGCGTGCGAGTTCTTAATAATTCTATGAATGATTTCAGATAATTTCTGAAATAGCAAAGCAAGATGATTTGAGTGCTTCTGAATCCGCGAAGCATATTCCTATCGTCTGGCCCGAAAAAGCGAAATAGTTCTTCCCATGCTTGTGAATGACTTCCCAGTCAGCAAATCAATATAATTTGAATGCCTCCCATAAATATACAGTATTTTTATCGTCTGATGCAATCATCATGGATGATGTCCGCGATGCATGATGCGTGCGAGTTCTTCAGCGGTTCGGGCTGCTTATAGAACTCGTGAAAATGGACCTTTCATTGTGGTGATTCTCAACAAGATGATTTCGCTATTCAATCTTGAGTTAAAGGCAGGGTGCCCCTATCCCATTCCAACAACCATTTCATAAGTTTATAGTCTCGAGTGGCGCACTTCGATTCTTTACGCCGATGTGATTGCATGCAGCATCTTATCGTACTGTTGAGTCTTGGTTGATTTTTTGCCCACTTTTGGTCGGAACATATCCTATTCTCGAATGTTGATGGCTGTTTCTGATGCAATCTTGGCCGTAACGTGTCGTACTGCGGTGTCGTGGCTCCTGCTGGCCAACTCTGGGTGCTAGAAAATCGTATTGCCGGTCCTTGATCACTTTTCCTGGCCACTTTGGGCCATAACAAATGGCCGGCATGTCTGTCACCGAAGTGGACGACAAGGTTTCTTGCCTGCTTATCTGCCCCGAACAGATCCGGCAACAGCGTTGTACGGTCAAGCAAGCCAAGAATTGAAAGAAACCACCACCAAGCCAGTGATCCCTCCGAACCCAATCAAGGGCAAGACGGATATCCCTCCGAACCCACACAAGGGCAAAAAAAATCCCTGTGAACTCGCTCAAGGGTAAGAAAGATATCCCTCCGAACCCACCCACCGGGCAAAGGAATAACATAATCTAGGGGATGGAACAGCGAGGACGTTTAAGAACGAGATGATTTGTCGAGATTAAGAAGCTTCTGTCCAATGAAGATCTCATCTCTATCGATCGCAGCGTCATCTGTATCAAGACCAATGGCAATAGTAGGGAGCCTAAGTCCCCAATTTATATCTGCCGGGTCTTGGTGGCCTTCCTGGCACACTCAGGGCCGTCACAAATCGTACTGCCGGGTCTTGGTGGCTTTCTTTGGCCCACTCTTGGCCGGCACAAATCGTACTGCCGGGTCTGAGTGACTCTTTCCGGCCCAATCTTGGCCGTATTAAATCGTACTGCTGTTCTTGGTGGCTCTTTCTGGCCCACCCTTGGCCGCAACAAGTCTTGGCCGTAGCAAATCTAACCGGGTCTTGGTGGCTTTTTCTGGTCCACTCTTGGCTGCAAGAATTCGTACTGCCGGGTTTTGGTGGTTCTTTCTGGCCCACTCTTGGCTGCAACAAATCGTACTGCCGGGTCTTGGTGGCTTTTTCTGGCCCAATCATGGTCGTAACAAATCGTGACTCTTGGTCGTAACGACTCGTACTGCCGGGTCTTGGTGGCTTTTTCTGGCCTACTCTTGGCCGTAACACATCGTGATGCCGGGTCTGAGTGACTCTTTCTAGCCCAATCCTGGCCGTAATACATCATACTACCGAACTTGGTGGCTCTTTCTGGCCCACTCTTGGCCGTTACAAATCTTGGCCGTAACAAATCGAATCGGGCCTTGGCGGCCCACTCTTGGCCGTAGGAAATCGTACTGCCGGGTCTTGCTGATTCTGTCTGGCCCACTCTTGGCCGTAACAAATCGCACTGTTGGGTTTTGGTGGCTCTTTCTGGCCCACTCTTGGTCGTCCCAAATCGTAGTGCCGGGTCTTGGTGGCTTTTTCTGGCCTATTCTTGTCCGTAAGAAATCGTACTGCCGGGTCTTGGTGGCTCTTTCTGGCCCACTCTTGGTCGCAAATCGTACTGCCGGGTCTTGGTGGCTTTTTCTGGCCCACTCTTGGTCGCAAATCCTATTGCCGGGTCTTGGTGGCTTTTTCTGGCCCGCTTGGTGGCTTTTTGTGGCCCACTCTTGGCAATAAGAAATCGTACTGCCGGGTGTTAATGTCTCTTTCTGGCCCACTCTTGGCCGTAACAAATCGTAGTGCCGGGTCTTGGTGGCTTTTCTGGCCCACTCTTAGCCGTAACAAAACGTATTGCCGGGTCTTTGTGGGTTTGTCTGGACCACTCTTGGTCGTAACAAATCGTACTGCCGGGTCTTGGTGGCTCTTTCTGGCCTTCTTTTGGCCGTAACGAATAGCACTGCCGGGTCTTGGTGGTTCTTTCTGGCCTTCTTCCTGGCACACTCTTGGCCGTAACAACTGGGTACTACCGGGTCTTGGTGGCTCTTTCTGGCCCACTCTTGGCCGTAACACATCGTATTGCCGGATCTGAGTGACTCTTTCTGGCCTAATCTTGGACGTAATAAATCGTACTACCGGTCTTCGTGGCTCTTTCTGGCCCATTCTTGGCCATAACAAATCTTGGCCGTAACAAATCGAACCGGGTCTTGGTGGCTCTTTCTGGCCCACTCTTGGCTTGGCCGTAACAAATCGTACTGCCGGGTCTTGGTGGTTCTGGCCCACTCTTGGTCGCAAATCGTACTGCCGGGTCTTGGTGGTTCTTGCTGGCCCACTCTTGGTCGTAATAAATCTAGTGGCGGGTCTTGGTGGCTTTTTCTGGCCGACTCTTGGCCGTAACAAATCTGTTGATGTCCGAAGCCCCCGTTCCTTTACATGTAAAGCTTTGGTCTCAGTGGAGCTGAATCCTTGGACGCCTTGTGTGCGCAGACGGATGGCTCTGAGAGTCATGCGACAAACATGTTACAAGCTGTAAGGCACAGCTTAGTTAGATGTGGTATGCACAGAAGCCCACGTCAGAACATGTCGCGATCGTGCGCTCTGCTGCCATGGTTTGCTGGCTGTAAATCTGAGCAAGCACGCTGAGACGTAGAAGACAACAGTGGAGCTCACAGCTCCTACAGGTTATGAGCGCCCAAGCTTCCGAGGCGGATACTCTGCTAGGACAAGATGCGCGACCTAGCGCGACGATGGAAGGAGAGACGGCTGGGCCTTCCTATGGGTCCGCAGAGGATCATAGGTCCACGGGGCCCAGAAGAGGGAGCCCAGAGGCTGCACAGAACCCTGGAATGCAAGCGTTACCAAATGGTGTGGATCGACGAGGAGATTCCTTGGATCGCGGGGCACTCCCACAAGGGGTGGCGCGGTCCACGGAAAGACCTGCTTTGGTTCACAGAGTTGGTGCTGTTGATGATTCTAGAAGGCATGGTGCGGTCTTGACAAATCCTTCTCCCGAGTCCAACGGGTTTGCCTCAGTGCACAGTATGGTGCCCTTTGACTACCGCTGCTCCCCCTATGGAAGGGGAACCGCATCAGGCCGAGCGAACGTTACAGATGGAGTATGCTTACGGAGGTGTGGAAGGACAACCGGCTGTGAGATGGGTGGCAAGATTGACTGAGTTTCTGCGAGCGACTACGGCTAGGTCGGCAGGGCTACAGGGTCGGGATTTAGAGGGTTTGCGTCTAACGACAACCCAAGCGAATGGACCTTCACCACAAGCACAACAGCACTCCCCACACCAGCTCTACCACCAACAGCCTCTGCAGCAAGCTCAAGCAGGAACTGTGTCAGCAGGAATGTGCCCTAGGCAAGCCTTGACCTTTTCGCCTCCGAATAAGCTTCCTCCACCTGCGCCGCCGCCTGAGTCACCGAGGAGATCTACACCGCAGGCGCAAAGGACACTGTTTTCTCCAGAGCAAGCAAAGCGACTGAGGGCTCAGCAGCAGTCGGCACCGCACTTGTACGGCGTGGTGTCAGAGCCTAACTCCACTTCCTCTTCAGAAGTCCAGGCGGAGGTTGAACGTCAGCTTCGAGAGTATGTACAGCGGTACGAGGGTGAAACACTGTCGTTGAGAAATCAGTTGTTGGAGCTTCAACGGGAAAGAGATCACTTGAGGGCTTTGCAGCATGGACTACCGCATGGTGATCGCATGCAGCATGGAGTACCACAGGGTGATCGCATGCAGCATGGAGTACCACAGGGTGATCACGTGCAGCATGAAGTACCGTATGGTGATCGCATGCAGCATGGAGTACCGTATGGTGATCGCATGCAGCATGGAATACCACAGGGTGATCGCGTGCAGCATGGAGTACCACAGAGTGATCGCCTGCAGCATGGAGTATCGCATGGTGATCGTGTGCAGCATGGAGTACGACAGGGTGATCGCGCGCAGCATGGAGTACTGCAGGGTGATCAGCATGGAGTACCACAGGGTGATCGCGCGCAGCATGGAGTACCGCAGGGTGATCAGCACGGAGTATCGCAGGGCGATCGTGATCAGCACGGAGTCGAGCATGGGGATCAGTCCAAGTCATCAGAGCGAGTCACAGGAGGGTCGTCGTCAGGGTCGCCTACGCAGATGGACATTTTAGGGGTCATAGCAGCTGGCATGAGGCAACTTCAAGATGCGCAGGCGAAGGCCTTGGACAAGCGTGGAGCGGCAAGTGACCCTGAGACGGTGAAACCGGGCGTGACAGTCTTGCCGTTGTTGCCACTACCGTCACCTGAAACCTCTCCGGTCGAAGTGCAAGATTGGTTGCAACTTTTGGCCGCACCATTGTCAGATTTGTCTGACTCGTCAGGCGAATGGTGGATGAAGATCCAGGAGCTCTCGCAGAAGGCCTATGTGACATGGTCGAAGGCCACGCCCCTCGAGCGCTTGACTCTTAAGGCTCCAAGAGATCGGTCGTTGGAGGAGGGGCGCTTAGCGCGCTTGCGTGCGCGTGCTGCTTCAATGATCCTCGCCGCCGTTGACTCCACAGTGAAGGCCGACCTCGTGGGCAGAAAGAGCGCGCAATCCACCTCGCAGATTCTTTATAGAATCTTGACCCTCTATCAGCCGGGTGGCGAGAACGAAAAACGCTTCGTCATCGACCAGCTCACCAATCCGGGTTCTCAAGACCAAGCTTCGAAGGCTGCAGAGTCCCTGAGGATGTGGGAAAGCTGGTACCGCCGGGCTGTAGATGTGGGAGTGGCTACACCAGATGCAACGATACTGAGCCGAGCTTTGATGAAGACGATGGAGAAGGTCTTACAGAATCCAGAAGCTGCATTTCGGACTTCTTTGCTGAGGAATTCCCTCAAACTGGATTCGAGGCCCACTCAGGAGACGATCTTGGCACTGCATAAACACTTGCTGGCCGAGGCAGAGGGGCTGTCTACGAGTACGTCGAGAACTACGGCAACGGCCGCAACCGCCCAGGACAAGTCGCCGAAGATCAAAGGGCTTCAAACGGCTGGCGGAGGGGACACGGCACCGAATCCAAAGGCGAAGTCGGCTCCTTCCTCCTCCGAATCAACGACGCAAAGGGCATGCAAGTGGTTTGCCAAATCAGACACCGGGTGCAGAAGGGGAAGTGAATGCCAGTTCACCCACGAGTGGGGATCGACCCCCAAGGCAGGCCGATGCCTCCTATGCTCTGCAGTGGGACATGGGAAGAAGGATTGTCCAACCAAGGACAAGAGCGCCGGAACTACGGGAAATCGTCAGCGAGGAGAAGCTTCGACCAGTTCTTCCTCCGTGCCTGCTGTTGCAAACAAGGCCTTGGCGGCGGCAGTGGACAATGCGCCTACCTCACCGGCTTCTCCGCAACCCGCAACCGAGCCTTCTCCTGTGAACTCCCCAACGGCTCGTTCAAGGCCACCAGAGGAGGATTATCCCGAGGCCTTGAAGAAGATTATGGATGACGCCCAAAAGGTTCTCAAGTCGCTGATGGCTTCGAGCTCTGCGACCCCGACGTCTGCGAGTGCATTTATCCCTACCTATGAGTCGATACAGAAGCAGCTGGATGAGCTGAAGCTACGAACCGTACAGAAAGGACTGTGAGCAGTGCGTTTTGTCATTGGGAACCGGAAGGCCCCACAGGAGAACGAAGCAGCGGTCAGCCTACGTCCTAAGCGTTGATGTGGGTGGACGCTTGAGGGCGACGTCAAGGGATGGCCATGGCTATGGATACCGCTACTTCCGGGCAGTGGCAATGAGCAAGGGGACGATGGGGGTGGAATTGGTGACGTGGACTTAGACGACATCGAGCCCTCTCTTCCGGGAGACGGAGGCGAGGATGACCCTCCGGCTCTCAAGAAGCTCTCCGCAGATGATCTATGGAATGATGATGATGTGGCGGAGGAGCAACAAAAGAAAGATGTGGAGAAAGAGCCCTTGCTCGAAGGGAACAGGGAGATTCCTATGGACCACCTGTACTTTATGATGTCGTTGAAGTCTAAGAAAAGCAGGGTCGTCATGCAGGCCATCCAGGAGATTGTCCTCCAGCTCAAGCATGAGAACCTCCCGGTGGTGCGTATCCACTCAGACCGCACCCATGAGTTGCGATCTCCGGGGCTACGAGAATGGGCTTTAGACCAGGGCATCATGTTGACAAGGGCTGAAGGTCAGAGCCCCCAGTCAAATGGAACGGCTGAAAGGGCGGTGCGCTACTTGAAGGGGAAGGCGAGGTTGATGTTCCGCTGGTTTGAATAGTTCTCACTGGGCCACGGCAATGATCACAGCAGCCCACCACCAACGTGAAGGCCGTTTGAGGCCCGAGACCTACGAGCCTCTTTGTCCCTACGGAAGCCGAGTCGCTATCAAGAAAAAGAGGTATGGCGATGGTGGAAAACATGATTTACTACCCATTTGGGTCCTGTGTGGGATGTGCGAAATGGCTCTGCCGTCTTGGAAGATGAAAATAGCAGGATCATGGTGACGACGAATGTGAGACCTCGGCTACATGATCCTGGCGTTGCGGCTGAGGCCGCTGAGGTTGAATTTCATCCTCCTGCGAGAAAAAGGCTCAGGGCCAAATCCAAGGTGGATGAACATGGAGTGGCAGTCAAGGCCCTCCAAGGAGACACCGGAGGTCAAGGGCGCAGCAAGTTGGTTCAAGAGATCCTCGAGCTGATGGCCAAGGACCCGGTCTACAACGTGAAGAGGCCGCAAGCTGCTGGAGGGGCGGAGCTGAGCACCAACAGCAGCTATGCCACCCCTAGGGGCCTACAATCATGGAGGCGTCTTTGGAATCACGAAGTACACGGATGAAGCAGCAACTTTGGCCAAAAAGGTAGCGGAGCTTCTCCGACGTGATTTCCCAGGGGAATGCTTTACGTCTGCGACGGTGATCCAGAACACGGTCATGCCCACTCACAAGGATGTTTTCAACGACTTCAATTCTCGGAATTTGATCTTCCCGCTCAAGACAACAAGGGGAGCGGGAGTGTGGGAGGAAATGAAGCCGGGCGACGTGTTCAAGGGGAAGCACCAGGAGATGCAGATCAAGGAGAAGACTTTCTCTGGCCAGGTACACCTGCTTACCGAGCCGGTCTCCGTCAATCCGGAGCGGTGGCATTGTGCAGTGCAGGGATCAGAGGGGCCAAGGTTGTTGGTGGCGGGACACACAATAGGGTCCTGGAGGAAGCTAATCCCGGAAATAAATCAGAAATTGGAAAATTTGGGTTTTGCGCTGCCAGAGCAACCTGAGGACGAGGTGCAGTTCAAGGCCATCCAAGAGGGCGGTTACGCCTATGTCGTGGACGAAAGTGACGCCATCCCCGATTACGAGAACATTGATGGTATTGCTGAGGTTGAAACAGATGTTGCTAGGTGTGCTAAGGCGGCGGCCGAGAACCTGTATACCCCCGGAATAGAAAAGCTTCTCAGCGAATTGGATGGTGAGTTACGTGTGGTGCACACAGTGCACCCAGCGGAGGTGGAAAAAAGTCTCCCTGAGTGAATCCCCTCCATGATGGCAGAGGTCGAAGCCCTCGTCGACATGCACGCGATACAGCGTGTCAAAGGAAAGGAGGCGAAGGACTTCCTGAACACTCCGGGCGCGGTCCTGGTGCCAGGAAAAGGGGTTTACACAGTGAAGCCTCCCTCCAAACCAGGCACCAAGTTTCGTCGAAAAACACGGATCGTTGGCTGCGTCAACTTCCAGAAGAAGTCCGAGCAGGAGGTGAACTACAGTGGAGGGGCGGCTGCAGAAGGAGTTCGGCTGTTGGTGGCGGAAGCATCGAGAAGGAAGTGGTGGATGTGCAATGGTGATGTTTGCAACGCCTTTTTGAGAGCCCCAGTGCCACAAAGAACTCTTGTGGCAATAAAGCCCCCCGCAGTCCTCATCCGTGCAGGCTTGGTTTCTTCTGATGAGACATGGATCACCTTGGCAGCAGTCTATGGCTTCAGATCGAGCCCGAGGTGGTGGTCTACGTATCGTACGGACATGATGAAAAAGGCCATCACGAAGCTCGGTTTGAAGTTCGAGCAGGGGACAGCCGATCCAAACTTGTGGCGAGTGCTGGATCAAGAAGGAAACCTCTGTGGACTTATAGCCGTCTACGTTGATGACTACTTGGTGGCTGGGGACAAGCAAGCGAGTTTGTGAAGATGTACATGATTGGTTTGCCACGACGTGGCAAACAACCGAGATCCAGTACACAACGCGGGAGAACTCCATCAGGTTCCTTGGAATGGAAATGAAAGTCGTGGTCACGGAAGAAGGCGAGTTCGGTGGCTACTCCTTGGAGCAGGAGGGGTATATCAATGAAATCCTGCGCTAGCATGACGTTGGAGAACATCAGATGTCTACAATCCCGGCATCTAAGGAGTGGATGAGCTTGCACCCCGACATGTTTCCGGACTCCCACGCAGAGAAGGACTTGAAGGAGGCCCAGTCCCTTACTGGAGAACTGGCTTGGCTTGCGCAGCGCTCAAGGCCAGACCTGAGTTTCTCGGTCAGCATCATGAGCTCGATGATGAGCAAGGACCCAGCAAGGACCGTCAGGATAGGACAGAAAATCCTGATGTACTTGAACTACACCAGGTTGTGGAAGTTGCGCTACAAGGTCAATCAAGAACCAAGGCTGGTGACGTTTACAGACAGCAGCTACGCCCCCGACTAGAATCGTAGCCACGGAGGTGCTGTTGTTTTTTGGTCGGGCGCTCCAGTTGCCTGGCGGAGCGCCAGGCAAAGCCTCATCACGACAAGCAGCGCTGAGACTGAGCTCTTGGAGGCAAGTGGTCGGATGCGTGGCTTCTTCGAGGGAACTACGTGTCGATAACTCCGGGGCGATCACCCTGGCGTCCGAGGAGGGCGGAAGTTGGCGGACGAGACATCTTAAAGTACGTGCTGGAGCCATGAGGCAGCGAGTGCAAGATGGGTGGATGAGCGTCTCCTTTTGTCCAGGGCTTCATCAGTTGGCCGATGGCTTGACGAAGATTTTGGCGGCAAAAAGGATGGAGTTCCTCTCTTGGCCGTAACAAATCTTGGCCGTAATAAATCGAACCGGGTCTTGGTGGCTGCTTCTGGCCCACTCTTGGTCATAAGAAATCGTACTGCCGGGTCTGAGTGGCTCTTTCTGGTCCAATCTTGGCCGTAATAAATCGTATTGCTGGTCTTGGTGGCTCTTTCTGGCCGACTCTTGGCCGTACAAAATCGTACTGCCGGGTCTTGGTGATTCTTTCTGGCCAACTCTTGGTCGTAACAAATCGTGCTGCCGGGTCTTGGTGGCTCTTTCTGTCCCACTTTTGGTCGTAACAAATCGTACTGCCGGGTCTTGGTGGCTCTTTCTAGCCCACTCCTGGCCATAACAAATCGTATGGCCGGGTCTTAAAGGCTCTTTCTGGCCCAGTCTTGGCCGTAAGAAATCTTGGCCGCAACAAATCGAACCGGGTCTTGGTGGCTCTTTCTGGCCCACTCTTGGCCGTAGGAAATCGTAGTGCCGGGTCTTGGCACTCTTGGTCGCAACAAATCGTGCCCACTCCTGGCTGAAATCGTACTGCCGGGTCTTTGTGGCTCTTTCTGGCCCATTCTTCGCCGTTACAAACCGTGCTACCCGGGTCTTGGTGGTTTCTGGCCGACTCTTGGCCGTAACAAATCGTACCCACTCTTGGCCGTGTAATTCGCACTGCCGGGTCTTACTGGCTTTTTCTGGCCCACTCTTGGGTCTTGGTGGTTGTTTCTGGCCCACT